TACTGCAATTATGTGATCAACATATACCATTAACGCACTATAAACTATATAAACAAAGCTAAAGAAATTCTTGCAGCGCAGAATAGTCAGAACTCGCTACTCGGTGTCCATTTATAACACAATCAAAAAATCTGAAAATATGATATACTGTAGTTAAGAAATAGTAAGTGGAACACAAAAAATTTTGTTGATTTAAATGAAGTTTGAGCTTATCTTTACCTTGGAGGTAGACCAATTATCATATGAAAACGCAAACATCGTCAACACACCCTAATCACCACACAGCTACACGACCCTCATCATGGTTCAAACACCTGCCTCGTAACCCGACCGATGGGCAACCCTTTCATCTGGGACCACCTCATTTTCCTTCCTATGATAATCGCAACGTGCCTCGGCATCGGCTTTCCCTGGGGCTTCGGTGGCGGATCATTCAAATCTAGCTCGGCACTGTCAGTCAGCAACTTCTCGCCAAGCAACACTTGACGCGTATGCATATGTTCGCCGATGGTGACCGAGGAAGATGATGGTCTCGAACACCCTGTAGCTGAGGATCTCAGGCCAGATCAACTCAATCTGGATGCGTTGATCTTGATCAGGTCACGTCCGCGCTTACAGTAGGTGACTTTGACTGACGTTTTTTATGGTTCTCCGCTATGCTGCTTTTCTCCCCGGGGCAGAATAAACGGACTGAAGAGTCTGGTTTTCTCTCTCCGATTCTTTTTTTTCTTTTTTTAACCCAAATCCAAAATTTCTACAGAAAACAAAATGACAATAGTCATATCATATACGGCAATATTGTTCAGAACAAAAGATTGAAATAGACTAAGCATCAAATGAAATTACGAACAGGACAAAAGTACCAAAAAAAAGAGATCAGTTCAAATCTCAAACCAGAGCAAAATCGAGGCAGATCAAGATTAAAGCTCGAGCTTGAGTTGTCCATTTTGATCGAGCAAGTAGTGGGAAATGTACGAAGATGAACTTGTGTGGGAGATTAGCTTTTCGATTTGTCACTTGAGGGTCCATTTTCCCTAACAAACAACAAGAAATTTATAGATTTAGCTTGTGTAGGAATGTACCTGCAAAATCATTTAGAAACCATATTCCTTGAGAATGTACATTTCTTGTGATTTTGTTTGTTGTATGACCATAAAGTTGAAACTTGAGATTTAGAAATAGGTGAAACTATAACACTTTTTAGATAATATAACAAAGATTACAAGAATCTACCTGGGAGGTTTGGCCAATTACAAAATATATCAGCAATGTTCCAAAATTACAAACAATTCATTTAGGCTAACAAAATCTTCCCTGAGGTTTAATAAATACCCTCATCATGATGATGTAGCTTATAAGAATGAACTATATCAATCAGTGCTTTAAACCATATCAAGCTCTTCAATAATCAAATTGAAGCTCAAATCTTTTGCAATTATTTAACTATCAAGGCAAAGGAGTGAAACAAAAGTAAGAAAAACAGAAAGTGTTTCAGAATGCGCTAAACTCTTGTCATAATGAAGCATGACCTATTAACTTGTGAAGCAAAATTAAGAAAATCATACAGTGTTTCAGAATGCGCTAAACTCTTTCCATAATAAAGCATGACTATAAACTTGTATGCTTAATAGATGAAGTCAAAAAATAACACATTGCACAATCTTGTCCTGTCAATGAAAATGACCTAATTACGCTTCCTCTACAAAACTATCAAGTTTGATTAGTTCACAATGGTAAATAGAGATATAGGAGGAGAGTATACGAATCGAATTGGGCCAGTGTGGACATATGAAGGGCCCGACGCCCACGATGGCAGCACCGGAGGAGCCGAAGTTGCTGTCTCGAGGGTGGAGTTGTAGAGCAGGCGATGCACGGTTCTAAGTCGGCGCCTGCAGGATGGCCCGGGTGTCGGTGGTGACCCGTCGGACCTTCACCTCGTCGCTCTCTTTCTCTCCTCAAAGTCCAGCGCCGTGACCACGTGGAAGACGCCGCCACAGCCGTCGAAGGTGTCGGCACTGTCGGATCTGCGGAGTACACCGCCGCTTCTTCTTCATTTTGTTGTTGCTCAAGAATCAATGGAAGTAGTGATTAGGATGCCGTCAAAAAGGTTAAAAACAATTTATTATTAAAACCAAATAGCAGATATTATTAAAAACAATTAAAAACCCATAAAGCAAAATAAATTATAAACATGAGCCTTTCCTTAAAACTTACCTCTTTCCTGGCATCACTCACGAGAGAGGCCATTTCTTGAAGAAAATCGGCAAATCCCTGTACAATGTTACACAATAGTTGAAAGATCAAAAGGAATTACAACACATCATAACAAACATTTAAGAACGTTAATGCCAATATACATACCTCAACATCTTCAGGATCATATATCCATGCATCATACATCACTCTTTTTCTCCTATCTGATAAAACAGTTTCACTCAAACAATTATCAACCTCTCATGTTAATAATACCAATATCAAATCAATCTAAAAAAGAAAAAAAAATCGAAATTTTCTCTCTGGTCAATGAAGACCCCATTTATTTTTATTAAGCCCATTACCTGAATAAGCTTCTTGAATTTTCTGGAATTTCTGCTTGGCCTCCCCAAGAACAGAAGAGTTTCTACTGGCACATTTGTCCGGACGCCATTGCTGGATCAAAATCACCCAATTATTTTTGTAATAACTTAACATCATCCCCAATACTATAACATAAAGACAACCCAATTGCAAAAAATCTCAGCTTTCGACAAAATGAAAAAACAAAATCAAGAATCCTTAAAGAACAAATTTCTAGAAAACCCCGAAAAGATTAATTTTTTTGTTATAAACAAAACGTGTAGGCAAAACATACCATTTCCAGATTTCGATAAGCACGTTTAATTTCTTCAGATTATTATGGTTTGTAAGAAGGAGGAGTTGTTTATCAGTCTCAATTGCGTGCGCGAGATTTCCGCGAAAAAGAAGAAAGCAGTCAAAACGCAAATCAGATTTTCCGGAAATGAGGGAAGAGCATGTTCTTCTTCATTCAGTCAGAGGTAATTTATGCGTGAAATGCGGGAATTGACGACCCCGATTTAACCAACAATAAACAAACTCAATGGCAAAGTTGTAAATACATAATAAAAGGAAGGATATTTTTTACACAAAAGGACACGTGTCAAGCCCACAATTGTCCAATGTTGTTGGGTTGTATGTATAGTGGAGATATAAATATAAAGTAAATTAAGGAATAGGGATTAGATTTAGACTTTAGAATTTTTGGTTTGTACTCTCGCACAGTGTCGCACTATCTTTATCTCTCACGCCCGGTCGTCGCCTTTCTTCTCACGCTCAGCCATCGCCTGTTCTCTCTTGCCATTCGCACTTCGACGTCTCGACACCTTCTCCTCACCTCTGAAGTCTAAAAATAAATCTTCGGCTAGTTCGCGCCTCTGCCTCGACGCCTTGCCTCTGACTCGACTCCACTTTTATTCTAATGATATTTACCACATTTTCATAAAATAGTAATCGTTCTCTATCCCTTCGTAGTTTTTTTTTTCTTTCTTGAATTTCAAGCATTGATGTTGAAGCTCTATTACTAATTATGGTTAAAATGTTTTTGTTTGAAATGTTTTTGGGAAGTAATGTTCACCTACCCACGGTTGGCACATGTTAATATGTCCACCGCTTATGTGACATGCACACATTGGTGATGTATTTTTTTGAACATATTAACATCATCAATGTGTGCATGCCACATAAGCGGTGGACATATTAACATGTGTCCATCATGGATAGGGGAGCATTATCCGTTTTTTGGTATTGAAAATGTTTGTCTTTCAGATTGATGTTGAAGCTCTTTTGTAAAATAGTTTCTCTTTCAGATTCTAATGTGATGGTTGTTGAGTAAATAAAAGGGGTGGGTCCAGATCGGGGCGGCCAACCCGCCCCAAATCATATCAGGGAACGAGCCCGACCTGCTGGACCCGTCGCGGACCTGGTCGGGTCCACAAATCAGAAGCGTGGGCCAAGTCCGGGTCCGCAACTACCCGACTCGATCTGCCCCATTGTCATCCCTACTGAAAATTAAAAAAAGGGATTTACATACATACTTAATTGATTGTTTAATAATTGTAAAAATACTAAATAAAAAATTTATTTGCACATCTACCTAAATTAACATAAATATTTTAGAATAATACTAGTTATTACAAATGTATCATTAAAAAAGAGAATTACTATATGAATCCTCAAATGATGGATTCATTCCGTAATATATATATATAGCTTTGATTTTTTTAATTCCATTAGATTTTCAATTTTCTTCTTGCAGCTATGAGATAAAAAAATGGCCGACGAGAGCAAAGTTGAGATTTCGGCAAAGCATTTGAATGCAAAATTGATGCCTGCCGCAATTTAGGTCTCCGCCACTTTGCGTACGCATCGTCGGCGATTTCATCATAATTCTTTTCTTACATGAGTGTTTATTTCTCTATATCCTCAATCTCTAAGTGTTGTTTTGGTTGCGACATCAAACTGGGCTCATAGCCCGATCCGCTTCGGCCTCAGCTCGGCGGGCTAGAGAGACATCGTCGGAGGTGGATGATTTGGCTTAGGAGATTTCTAGGGCTTGAGGCAGTCCAAGTTGGCTAATTTCTCGGCCTTCTTGAAGCCAACGAGTTTGGCGAAAACAAAAGAAGTGAAGAAAGGATAGTAGTAATGTTTTAGTAGAAATTTGACGGCAGCGGGACGGATGTCGCTAGAGAAGATGGCGGTGATGAGGAGAGAAGAGAGATGATCGATAAATTTCACTGGCCAAAGAATATTTTCAGTATATGTTACGTTTAGACTCAGTATATTTTCAGCGTAAGTTGCATTTTTATTTGCATAATAAATTGCATTTTTATTTGCATAACATTATCTAACCACTATTGTGATGTTTGGATTTTGTTTTTATTTTTTACTTAATTTTATACCTAAAATTTGTACAACATT